CTTTAAAATACTATTTTGTCTGATTAAGTAAAGGATAATTAAAGCCACTTCACTTGAATTACACATAGGATCAGGAAGAATTGAATAACTTTTTTTGACATACGCATAATAGTTTACATGTTCATTTTTGAAAACTATTCAAGATAGGCAAATCGATATCCACAAAGCGAATCTTAGCGTTCAAAAGGAATTTGTACAACACATTCATTTATACTACAGAGGGTTAAAACAACATGTTTATCCCTTCACCTGTTTCTCTGAATTTTGTTTACTGTCTATGTTGTTACATAATTTTAATATCCACTTTTTTACTCTTAATTGACTATTATGAACATTCAATCATCTTATCAAAAATACCGAGCTAATTCACTTAAAAGACATTATATATATATATATATATATATATACCGCAGCTCTCTCTGCATATCATATATATATGCCTCGCTATATTCATGTTTGTATGGTGACAATGGGATTTTTTATTTTACCTATGAAAGTATGCAAAACAAATTTGTAAAATTTTGCTAACAAATAAGTATAAGTTGTTTTGTTTCTTTTTTTTTAATTGTAGAGTATTTGAAGTTTGGTGATTCACATCAATTTATAAAATATTCTCATATCACATAGCCGAATAAAATTGTCATGGAAAGTCTTTGAAGCTGTCAATTTCATTTATCATTATCGTTACTTTTAATGACTTTATTCAATATGACATGTTTACTGCAATATAGAATTCTCAGCGTAAAGCATTTCAACAAGTTTTGAACAAAAAACAGAAAAGAAAAACAAGATCGATAACTGCATACTTATGCAGATGATTATAATTATACGGTTGTGGAGATTGTTGAATTTTAACTGAGATCATGAACCGATCAATATTAAACCACCATTGAAAACCTGGAAGCACTGGTCGGTTGGGAAAAGTTTATTATTATTGTCCTAAGGATTACGATAAGTTATAGTGTTCAGTAATAAACAATATGATAGTCTGTGTCTTTGCACCGCACATATACTTTCCGAAGTAAATTATTGTACAAGGTTTTTTCACTAGAACTACGTGATATGGCCTTCCCAAGCAAATTGTAACATTTTCATTGAAAATGGAAAAGTTACATTCGATAGAAAAGGACTCATTTGATTGGAATCATTAATCGATCAACGTTAGACCCCTATTGAAAAACCAGAAGCATTGGATGGCCGTTTCATCCCAGTATGGGACGTTTTATCAACGGACACCCACGATTCTTCATGAAGGACGCGAATCCAGAACTTTTGGCCCCGCTTGCGAACGCCTAACCACCAGACCACTGATCCGGCATTCAACAGTGTTAATATCTAACCTCAATCAATCTATGGCATTTGATCTACCTTTCGTAGCTTTTGTAATGGTTTGTGAAAGCTCATGGTTTCATCACTCTGTTTTATCTCAGCCACAAGTTCTCATAGAATGTGGCTTAGGAGTGAGTAAGTTTAACAAGCAATTAAAACAAAAGTATGATCACTGAAATAACGTATTTTCGTGAATGTATTTATGCAAAACAAACAAACAATATTTCGACTGATATGGAGATTACAAATCACTAACCCAATTCTATATATTCGATTGAATATCCAATTTTAATTGCAGGATATTATCTTACCGCGATTTTCATTTAGCAGTTAAATAAATAGTAAATATATTAATAAGAAAATATACATTGACCAATATTTGTTACATAATCTCTATTATGACACATCATTTAGTCTGTGCATGTTTATTTATACATATCTGTGTCTCTATGTGTAGATATCAAATTTTCATCCAATCGGGGTTTGGATAACATCAATTTAAACTATCAAGTATAAATCACGTAAACATGATAAAGAAGTAGGGATGACAGTGCGTATTACTTATTACAACGTAGAATTTGTTATAAAGATGTACAAATTTGTAAATGATGGATTTCTAAAAAAACAGCTATTTTTATTCTAACAAATATATCGGAGAACTATAATAATTTATTAGAAAACAATGTTTTAACACCTAGTTTAAAAGTTTTACTGGATGTTGCTGAAATGTTGACCGTAAAGTTAAACAAACAAGCAAACAAACATAAAGGTGAAATGTTACACAATCAGTAACAGATAGCCTATACATATTTGTTATTTTGAGTCACATCTTAGGTATGAAACCTAATAATAATAATACTCGGTTGCCTAAGCTGATTTAAATGGAATAGGGTAAAAATCTATAGTTTAATCGAAGAAAATAGGTTACTCTAACTAACTGCTAGAAATAAAGTGGAAAACTTTATTCTCAAAGATGCAACAGGTTATTGTTTCCTACAACTGTCTAAGGTCTATAAATAAGTATTCAATGTTGCAAGAATAGATCAATAATTCTGACAGATTAGGAATTATCAATCATCAAGCGAAATATAATCCAGTTTTCTGTCTATTTTTCAGGATTTTATTAGCATTTATTTGCTGAAACCTGTCCTCTAGTCAATCCAAACTCTAAAACTGTTATTCAATACATAATTCACATTAAATATTGGTTTGTAAGTTGTGTTACCCAACAGATAGTTTAGTGACTTCTGTCAAAATAATATTGATAAAACAAGCTGATAGTTTATTTCAAGATGCATTATTTTTCATCAAGTAGATGGAATTATTCGACAGATTATAAGTAATGTCGGAAAATGACTGAAAGAAAATGCTTGAAATTTCTGACGAAAATCTAAATATTCAATTTTTCAGAGTAGCTTCTTTACACAAAGAATATCGATAGTTTTTCAGTGAGATTATTTTTAAAAAAAACTACCATGAAAACTTCATTTTGTTGAATTTTCATCCGTCACTTAAAGCATTACTATTAAATTTCTATTCATTTGATTGTTGTGCGGTTTTGTTGTTTGTTCGGTTGTGTAATAGAAACGGAAACAAATTTGATAAAAAGAGGCATTCTGATAAATTATTACTAAGCATTATGTTAAAATATATACTTAGTCAGTTATTGAATGATCAAGTTCATCATAAAGTGATAATTCATAAAAAAAATCATTTAAAAAGTCAAACAAAAATTACACAGTTGAGTTATCTGAGTTTGAGTAATATCAACAAAGGGAAATCATAAGACGTGAGAGATAACAAACCTAATTTTTACAGATCTCTTAGTAAACTTAACACTGTTTAACCAGTCGTGATCACCACAGGATTATTCATTTACAAGTATGACCCTGTGTAAAGTAGTTAGTATAAACTCTAAGAGTATGTTGAACTATGGATAAAATACACATATTTGGCGCTTCTTATATTTTGATGATTTATAAGCTTGTGTAATTGTTCTATGATCGAAATTATCATCAAGTATTCTCAAATACATATATATTAATCGTCAAAATGGAATTTAAAACTATTCTGTTGATCAAATAATAGCATTTTTAATGGTCTATTATACTTTAAATCTCAGAAGATAAATGAATATGGGTCATAGTTACCACGGGTTAGTTATGCTGTCAATTTGTGAGCATTCATACGCACATTCGAACACACACACACACAAGCACATCTTAGTGTTGAAGTATCACGAAAAGCAGTGATACAATAAAAAAAGTCATTTGTGTTGAAATATTCATTTGATATTCAATACGAATATTAAAATATTTGGCTACTATTAATGGTACCAGTTAGTTATCACTATTCTTTTGATTTTCATTTAGTTTCAACTATTTTTAGTCAATACGGGTTTCTATTGTTCAACAAATCTCTGTTCTTTCATTATTTGTGTTTATTTTATTAAAATATGTGGTTTAAAATCAATATTAAAATATTTTATCTAATTTAACAGTTAAGTTACGGTTTTTAAATCAGCTCAAACTTCAAGATAGATCAACAAATCATTAGAGACAAATCATTGTAGACAATTAATAGTAGATTGACTCCCTAGAATTAATGTGATGCATTTAACATTTCAACTACAATTGATCGGTATAAACGATTTTCACTTATAAAAGTGTCTTCGAATGGTAAGTTGTGTCTTGATCAATAAAGGCAAACAGATTTTATGGATTAGAGAAAGAATTTTCAATGTTATGGATAGGTTAATATAAATAAATTCATTGAAAGTACTTTGTTAGTATAAAGTTCGATTGTTTTAACAATATCCGGTCTTTGACGTTATCTAAACTGATGTTTGTATAGGACGATGATGATCTCTTAACAGAGGAAATTAAAAATAAGCAACATATATAAGTACTTGATACTTAGACCACTGGGTCATTATCTAATGTTTCACATTTTCAGCTTTAATATGGTGTGACAGCTCACGATTAGTTTCGGCTGGTAAATACCTCACATCCAATATATATTAAACCTTGTCAGTTATGACTTAGTAAAACATGATTGAACACTATCAGGTAATCTCATATTTTAATGAACTAGGTAATTTTATTTGGGTTTGCAGTTGGTCCCAGTCCATAATAAAAATGATTTTGCAATTATCATTTCCTTTGTTAAAATTGAATCTCGTCTTTCTAGAAACCAAGACAATCGAAAGGTAAGGAATGTTTTACAGTACTATACGAAGTGTTTTCCATATCAAGTAAAAGTGTGGCACTGACGAACAAAAACATAAGATATTACCCTAGTTTCTTTTATAAAAAATTCTTTTTCAAGTTGATTACTGATTTATCTGTATAACACAAACAATCAGTTTAATTTAAACAGTTAAATTTATCTCGTTGTTGATATTCGTGACTGAATTTTAACCAATTTTAATTGATATATATGGATTGTTTGAGGATGGTCTTGACAGAACCACTTCACTATGATGCAGGTATATCTAACTTATGAGTCTGAGTTTGGAAGAAGCATACATCCCGGATTCCACTGCACAATCTCTTTCTTAATGAGCACATTGAAATAGTCAGTATATAATACACATAGGCTAACTATGCCATTGAAATTCACTCAAGAATATTAAAAACAATGAATATTTAAAATAAATAAACACAGCGTACTTGTGTTGGTTTTTGAAGTTTTCCAGATTTACTTCCATGATATATGTAGACTGCACCACCGTTGTCTTCATAAGGAGCACCGACAGCAAAGTCTAATTTCATTATGATTAAGTGTAAAAAGAGGTAATAAATATTGTCTACATGATATGGAGAGTAACAATTTATTCTTTATCTTCAAGATTGATGGAATAATGAATAAGCATTTTTTTGAAATAAGGTTATAAACCATTTTTTTATTGTTTAAGCACAATATGGAGAAATATATAACAGGGTTTTATTATATAAGCACATACACAAATATAGATACACACACATATACAAAATATGTTCATAGATAAGAAAAAGAAATTGAAAAATATAACATACTGTGAAGGACATTACTTCAAAGAAAGGAATAATTAATGCAAGTGAACTCATGGTAAAAAGTTATAGATTAGTTTACTGGTGGTCTAAAGTGATATGCACTTAAAAATAAATATATGGTATTATCCTAAAGTGTATTCAGTAACTTGTATGGAAAATCTTTAAGTCATATAATACTTTGTTTCAACTGGGTTTTTTTTCAGTTTTGGTTACGTTGTTATAATCTAAATGTTATAAATTAACCAATTGTTTTAAGTAAATAAGGTAGGAACAATTTTTGGTTCAATATTTATAACATGCACTGAAAGGATGGATAGTGTATGTGTAAACTGTAAACTGCTAAGGCATGCCAACTCGGTAGTACAAATAGAATCATCCACGGAATAAACCTGAGACATGTGAAACATAAAACTTATACACATACACATAGCTTTAGTAATCTTTTAAATCACTGAAGATAAAGTACTCATATGGATTAGAGAGAAAAGATTGTTTGCAAAAATGAAATGATGATACGCTCTTATTAGTATCTGTAGATGTAGAATCATTTTTGTGATCGTTGCAAACAAGTTTTCGTTTTTTATTATTTAGTAAGGGGAGATATGATTCATATTGAACGATCATTGAGAAGTGACCAATAATTCAAGGATCAAGTACAGTCCTTAAATCCGATTGAGTTCTACTAATCAAGCTCCAATGTTGTCACCACTCTGAGTGAATTATAGCAATTCACATGCAGTTGAGTTTGTTCTCATTTAATTCAGTTAAGCCCTTTTGTTAACTTATTTACTCATTTTTTCGTTAAATATTTATCTAAAGTGAAAAAGATTCTGACATTGAATCATTATAATTCAAGGCCGAAGACAGTTATGTGGTATCCTATTTTCGTTTACAATTTTGGTGTGTGCTACTTATATCGACATAAGTAGTATATGATGTTAGTCAGGAACAGAATGTCTGGCAGCAGTGACAAGAGGATCGAACAGTAAAGAATAGAAATAGAATGAAATTTGTATGAAAATGCAAGAACAATGAAGTCTATGTCATTATGAGACAATTGATGGACATTTTGCAAATTACGTATTTACTATATGATTGTTAGATTTTATTAAGAAGTCCTGAAATTTTGTGTCAACTACATTCGATTGTCCCCATTGGTGTTTGTGTTCACTACACAATAACTGATGAAAGGTGAGATCACTTAATTAAGTAGCAACTCGAAGTAGTTCAGTAAAACGACAGGGAAGGGAAATGTTTGTAGGGATTTGTTTAGTTTACAAATGCTAACTAGAGACTAACTAATAATTGGTGTTATGTGATTTGACCTCAAGTGTAGTTACACATTTTTACAACTAGATTAATTATATCACCATCCAGCTATTCAATGCAAGACGTATGAAGTCAGTTAATAAGAATCTCTGGTCCTGAATTTCATCAAAATTGAGTTATTCGACTGGAGCACTATAATGACACCGGTTTAAACTTTTGGACGGAAATTAGTTACGTTGAAATATTCACCGACTATTCAAACCGAAGTAAGTGTTGTGGAATATAAACATGAGATTGAATAAATTGATAGCTGAGTTTTCGTAACCAGTAAGCTATCATTTACCTAATCCTTATTACTGACCATGTAATAGAGAAGAAGATACACCAGACTATATTATGAGAGAAAATTCAATAAACGATATTGGTCTCCTTTTGTGATTTCTGTTTAAATTTAGGACTTCGTTAGTCTTGAAGAACTCATATAAAGAATATAATCACTAAACAAATAAGTTGCTCTGAAGCTCCTAATACGTTAAATGATAACAGTCTGGAAAGATCATAAATATATAGTAGATTCTATTCCTAATTACTATGAAGTATTCTTAGATCGTTAAATTAAAACCAGAATTTTGTATGACACTGATACATTTTTTGATCGTTAACATTACCTTGAAAACCATCGTGATTAATATCACCAAGTTTTGTAATTGTCGCTCCAAATCCAGGAATATGTGAATTACCACAATTATGAGATGGAGGTGTAATTATTTGAAAAGTTTCAGGATAATTATAACTAAACAACTCCACGCCACTGACTTCATCCACTGGTGTATAGAAATATGACTGTCTATTTAAAAATATAAACACTGCTCCGTGTCTTCTATGTCCACCGACAGTCGTATTGGAATATTGATAAGGTGCACCGACAATTAGATCATCCCAACTAATAAAAATGTGAGATAAAACAAGTCAGTGAACTATCCAACAAATAACAACCTAAAACTTCTTTATTATTTAGAGACAAAATTATTGGATTTTTAATGATTTATTTAGTACAGGAAGCATAGTCTACTGTTTGTTAGACTTAATTTTGTAGGAAGTATATATAATCTGCACAGTCAGTACGTGAATTGGTTTACTTCAAATGTTTGATGGAACTTGTACTTCAAATCACTTATCTACTGTCCGAATAGATTCTGGTGATCGGAGTTTCTGGAAATCTATATATGCGATTCTAAAACAAAACAGTTAAGGGTTTATAAATGATGAGGTAGCCACAGAGGTAAATTTTGAAGGACTGCCAGAGATGTTACGAATAATAAAAACGTAAACAAGGCATGTAGTCGATTGCAAATGAAGATAGCATTGCTATACTACAAGGTCTATAAGCTAGAACATATACGAATTTCATAAGCGTATTAATTGGAAATAATAGTAATCGGATAAAATGACTAAGCCTAAATCAGAGGCCGAATTTTTCAAATGTGAAGTGATATAATAGACAGTAACTTGCATCACTTTACAGCATAATATTACTGTTACTACCAGAAGACCACCGGTAAGAATAAATCTAATTGTAATTTTATTTTCAATATCCTAAATATGCCATATCATGATGGATGCCTGGTAAAGAACAAACACCTAGCATTGTTCTTCACATTGATCTATATTTCATTTAATATGTATATGTTGTGTGGTATGTGCTACTTATGTCGACATAAGTAGTATATTACGCTAGTCAGGAATAGAATGTCTGGCAGCAGAAGTTCGAAAGGATCGAGGAGGAAAGAACGGGAATAGAAATCAGTTGGTATGACTATGCACAAACAATGAATTCTGAGACAATTAATGAACATTTTGTAAATGAAGTATTTACTGTTAAGTTCTCAAATTTTACGAAGACATTGGTCCTCACTTATGTTCTCATTCACTCATAGAAAGCTTTCAAGAAAATAGGTTGAAGTTCTACTGAAGTTAATTTTCCCAATATTATCAATTTAGTTCTTGTTTATACTCAATAAATTGTAAGCTTAACAAAATCCCTTGAATGAATTCAATGAATAATATATATATATATATATATATATATATATATATATATATATATATATATATATATATATATATATATATATATATAGCGAAAAACATTCAAATCCAAATGTCTTCATCAATGTCATGATTTAAAATTAAACAAATTATTTGAATAAATAAAGATCCAAATCTTTTTTTTAACGTTTCATTGTCACTTAATTTAAACAAAAATTACTGAATCATTCAATGTAATTAAAGTGTATTTAGAGATTGAAATTATATAAATAAATGAATGACAATTAAATCATTTGATGTAGTAAATACTAAGTCAGTAAATGTATCATTTAATTGATTCATGGTAATTCATTCAGTCTGAAGTATTGATTTTCGATAATCTTACAACAACAACAACAACAAAAAATTTAAAGTAATATTGAATGTCACATTATCCTATAAATCTTTATTGTTTTAGTTCAGGGGTTACATAAAAGTTCACATTGATCGAATCAGAATGAGTTTAAGATTTTAGAGGCCTACAGGAAGTATGATAAACTTAAATTATTGTATCGGAATATAATTTAACATTTAGTTTTGTTTGCATATTTCACTATGAACGTACTCGTAGTAAAAATATACCTAAATACACCTGTCTACTGCAATAGATTTTATGGATCATGAGTTTACTATACTTTAGTGACTACTGTTTATTAACACATTTATTTGACATAGTAGTGAGTGAGTGAATCTGATAAGTGTTGTATAAATATTACATATCCAGAAGTATATGTAATATACCTTTAAATTAAATCGATGTCATTTTGTACATAAAGTTCTGCTACATTTTCAGAAAAGTAAGAGAGATAGAATGATAGGAAAAATGTTTAATCGTTTAATAACTTGAAGTACATATATCTAAAATTGAAATTAGTAAATTATTTTAGTAGAGGTAAGTTATTCAATGCTCTGATGTCTAATGATAAGTGACCGTTTGATAAAAATTCATACTTTCACATTCCTTATGTTTAAAAAGATTCACCTGGCCTGACAAAAACTTAAGAATGAATGCCTTCAGTAAATATACTGTATATATCTAGTACTGAAGTTCTTATTTATGGTTCAATGAGCTTTATTGTATTTTAAACTTAAGATATTCAATGATGCATCTACTGCTAGTTGACTCAAAGACAGGATTTAAGTTTATGTTTCCATTAAACGGATTATATATATATATATATATATATATATATATATATATAATGTTTCACATAGAATGGTATTTCGATTATTACATGAATCCAGAGTATATTAAAACAAAATTTCGAAATACAGTATGATCAACTATTACTTTGTAAATGATAGATATAATTTTTATAGGATTATATTTTATTTACGACTGTTTAGGATATTATTTGAAAGTTCCATTGTAAGTATTAGTTTTTCGTATCTCAGATAATCTACGGTTCGTAGACTTAAATTGTGTTAGGGGATTATAAACTAGAGACTGCAGGATTTATATTCTATTGCAATACAATTTGTAAAAGTAGTTTTTTTATACTGATTAATTTCCTTTGATCAGTATAGGGCTATGGGGATTGTTGAGTTTCAATGGATATCATGAATGGATAAGTATTAGACCATCACAACCCCATACTGATATTTATCATGTGCTCACTAATGACTGGCATGAAGATGAGTTTCCTGGAGTTATAGTGAGAAGCCGTGACCAGTGGAGTTCAACCGTCTCTGTTGTTGAGGCAGCTACTCACTGACAACAATGGTGGACGGTCGCACAATATCATGGATTGGTTGAAGTTAGACATTAGCACTATTGGATGTCAGTTCAGTGGTCTAGAGATTAATTTCCTTTTATCTATTTATTTAAATTAAATAGAAATCATTCTAATTCGTGTATACTTTGAAATTTATATAAGTGGCTAAAATATAGACAAAAGTATAACGACGTAAAAAAGAACGAGAACCTGATTGGATTATCATTTAGGAGAAAGGCTTTAAAATGAAGTATTCGATCGAGTCATTATTATTTTATATTAGTTATAGTAAAGACAACTTAATTATCCCAAAAGTAATGTAGTACGTTTGTATTTGTAACCAGTGTTTTCAACTAAATTTATTTTACAAATTGAAAACAACTAATCTGACAAACTGAACTGCCTAATAAATGTACAATTTAGTTGTGTTAAGTTTATATTATGTGATACAGTAACTTTACTCTTTGTTATTTCATTGAAAAACAACAAAAAATAATCATCAGTAGATCTTATACTGATTATTAATTTACATATTATGAGATCTTACCAAAACTTTTCATACTTAGCTATGGTCATTCGTTGGTCTATTTATTTAGACGTTAGGTGGTTGAAAGTAGTCGGCAGGAAATTTTGGTCTTATGTATCGTGCTAGTTGGCATTTGTCAAGAATGTGTACTTGGGATCTTGATGCAACTGACACTTTGTGGGATTCAAATTCATGTCAACAAGTCTCACAGTCTCAGAAGTTATCAGTGGGCTAGTAAGGCCGTGGTTAACCTACTATAGGACAGAGATATTTAAAAATGATTGATCTCAGAGTAGAGGACAATGTCATATTTGTCTAGTCCCTTAAACTGGCTTGAATTCTATTGATCTAGGTGTAATGTAACCACAAGCCTAGGTAATTCGACTTCGGGTGCATTATATTTAGATATCAGAAGGTTACAGGTAGTTACGACAGTAGGTTTTGTTAAATTCGAACTTATTCATTTTAAAATGTGATTTAGGAATTCATCTATTTTCTGTTGTAAATAAAGTTCACTTAATGATAATTTTAGTTTAAGGAGAGTATTAACTATTCTTTCTAAATCTTTTTCCCCTTTCCTGTAGTATTCAGAATTGAGTCAGATTCACACTGAGTTATACATATTGTTAAGTGGTCATTTATAACTTCATGTAGTTAGTGATCATAGTACATAGACCTAGTTTTATAAGTCACAACAAATCTAGTGTTAAAAAATCTCATTTAAATAAGATGCCATTTACATAAGTGATATTATAAATAATATAAATAACAAAAGTACTTTTAAGTTTATATATATTCAGATTCAATATGTTAGATCCACATACATTATCAATATGTGCATTTTTCAAATACCATATTTTGAAAACTCTTACGTACTTTGTTTTAAACATACACTGAATTCTACATTGTTTTGTTTAATTACATTGATTGACCTCAAGTATACTTTAAACTTGTTATTTTGTATATCGCAATACGAAAAAAAGAACAAGGTATCATCATAATAGGTAGTAATTGATAGTAGATAGATTACCAAATCCAAACAAAAAAGCACTGATACATCGATGTAATTGTGTTTTTAGAAATATAATGTTATGCTGGCAATATTTCAAGTTTCCAGCATATTTCAAAACACAATCGATTGATAAAGAATAAATGGAATGTAGTTAACAGAGGAATTCCAATTTAAACTCGCCACCTGAATGTACCTTCTTCCAAGCCATTACAAATTAAGTTAAAACTTGTTTTATTTGATTACAGATTATTTTTTAGGTGATACCGATTCAGTAAAAAAACTATGATTAATTTCATCAAATTTTCACAGATGATTTTTTGCTAAATATCTATTTATAAAAAGCTTTTAGATCGATTTATTAGTGACTTATAGAGAAAGCGATTCCAGGAGTGTGATACTTATCCACACCTATATAGAGAACTGACTAAAGCTTAAAGTATTTTTGGATTTCAAGCTATGTTAGGTTGTCGTTTTGTAATTAAGTGTAATCTTGAACAATGGTAGAACAACTGGCTAGTATTCTTCAATTCATGATGGTTTTCCGATTAACTCCAGTTCGTAATGAAAATTCTACTGCATAAATAATTAGTTTATTGACAAATAATAATATTTATATAATTCTTATGAAATCTACTTACCCATCTCCATTAATATCGAGAAATATAAGTGAATGACCAAATCGACTGCCAAAACTTTGTCCTTCTATTCTCATTAATGGTTTGATATTATTTCTACCATTTTGTTTATTACTTTGAAATATTAATACGATTCCAGTGCCAAATTTCGTTTTATCAGTGAAACCATTGACAGCACTACTTGGTACACCTGGACCACCATAAGCCACATACAATTCATGTGATTTTAATCCCGGTAATGGTGCATACAATCGATCGGTAGTGTCAAGAGATGAACCTTTAGATAGAAGGTGAAGTAAAGTGTTGATATTAATAAACTGTATTCACATTTATGCCAATATTTATTTAAGATAAAAACAACAGTTACATTATACTCACTGAGAATGTAGAAATGTATCCGTAAACAAAAGTATATATCAGAGAATAAGTTTCTAAAAGCTAGGCATATTAGAACATTATGTCTATTTTGTAGACACACTTCTAGTATACAAAAATGAGTACTTTAAATTAATAAATTCATTAAAAGAGAAGAAACTGCTTAACATAGTTAATTCAGTGACAAATGAAAATAAATGTCATTTTATAAATATTAGTATTCATAGTTATTAAAAAGAAATAAATGAAAACAAAAAATATTAGAAAGCGGTTTTGTGGATATTATAGTTATTTGATAGTTGAGATCATAAGCCAATTGAAGCTAGGTTAAACGTTCGCGCGCGAGATCAACAGATCCTGGGTTTGAATCCCGCGGGGCGGATGGTGGATGCGAACTGCTGAGTAGTCTAACAATAGGTCGAAACGGCTGTCCACTGCTTCCAGGTTTTTCGTGGCGGTCTAGCTTCAAATGATTCATGATCTCAACTAGTAAAAAAGAAAAAAAAACACGAATAAACTGAGTAAATTTAGAATATGAGTTGAATATATATTGCCATTTATGAAGTTTTAAAAAAAACAATTTATTAAGTACTTGTTAAACTCAATAACTGATCATTTGTCATCTTCTTAGAATAGAAAGATGGAAAGGTTAGTGAACCAAATAATTTCCAGTGTTTCACTTCAAATTCAATTTTCAATTATTTTTACAATAATGATATTTATTTAATTTATGTAGTTAAGATGTTTTGAAGAAAAGGGAGTATTCACCTTATTATTATAAGTTAGTTCTTGTCAGAATGTGTTCCGAAAGAAAACTCACAATCATATGCTGATGATTGATTTGGAAATTCTTTTGTTTAATAATTAATAATTCAAACTCTTGATTTAAAAAAAACGTATATAGTTTTAAGATCTTTGTTCTATAATACAAACTAAATATTCATTTAAAAATATTCAATTAATTGTCTATAGGAAAGGAAACAGTCAGTTACAAGTGACATTCATTTGTGTAAATATTTACGTTGTCTGGGAATGGTTACTGAAGCAGGGAGAAAGTAGTCTCAGTTAAATAGCCTAAAAGTTTGAAGCTTATTTAAAACTTGAACAACTGTCATCAATGGGACCGGATGTTCGTCAAGCTATTACGGAAATTATTCAAGTTGAAATTATACCACGGAATACCAACCTAGTGGTTCTGATAATCCAGCATTCGTTGTAAAACCTGAAAATTGTAAGGTCGAAACCTTGAAGAGTCATGGATGTGTACTGATGGTGAGTCCCACATTAAATAGAAACAGCTAGTTAATGCTCCTTGATTCTCAATGGTGGCAGAAAGCAAATCATTCTATGATGTATACAACCTAAAATAGACTAACCTTCTCTAGACTTCCGAAAGGAAAGTAGGACAGTTTACAGATAGTTTATTTTTAAATGTATTAAATTCCATTTTTAGTTCAAGAATAATAATCAGTGATAGAAGAAACAACGAAATATTAAGATGATTAGAAGTGATCGAGAAGAAGCACTGGGTTGATATTTCATGGTAGTTGATACTCATCGATGCAGCGCGAGTTTATTCTTCTGGAATCTAATGCTCATTCGTGTGACATCAGACTGCTCATTACAAACAGAACAGTACAAATTTTAAGCTCTCTAATAATAATAATAATAATAATAATAATAATAATAATAGTATTTTGTCTTTTAACAAGATATTTATGAATAACCAATGGGTAATAAGCATTGGTTTTCAGAATTGTTCTTACTGATAAAAAGATACAAAATCCTTTTTATTAACTTGTGTAGGATTATAAGCATACAAACATTAACAATCATAGAAGATTACATATACAAATGACCGATTATAAACACTTTATTAACACTTAATACTATCTCGTTTATTTACTTATTTATTAAGTAAATTTGACATGTACTGCGTATAAATAGAGAGAATGAATGCTTAATGTATCTATAGGTCATTTCAGTGTTAACTATTAGTAAATGATGATTCATTGAATTAGCTAAAAGCAAAAGAAGTAAACAATATTCATAAAAATCATATAAAATAATTAGACCTATAAACATATATATGAAATAGTCAAATCCGCAATGTAAATACCTAACACTTTTGATGAATTCAGGCATAATCTACTAGACTGATATACTAAATTTCCTATTTCATAAAAGTTGAACATTAAGCAATAAACAGATCATTTGAATATCTTTAAAAGACAAACAATTCAAAGTGCATGAACAACAAACACATACCATATATACCATATTAATATGAAACAAAATACTTTTCGATAACCTAGTTACACAATTTAACTTATAAATTTCATCATGAACTGATATATCAACTCAACAATCATTGATAACTAATAATTATTAAACAAGTAATGGTTCGTCATAGTTGAGAATTTTTTGTACAGTTGGAAATCATAAAATTTCATAGTGTGCAATATGAAATAGAAAAAAGTGCTTATATAATACTCATATAAAAACAAAAATATAGTTATGAGATTATTGTAAATTACATGAAATTGTTTACTATTCGCCATTAATGATAATAATCGAAGGTTGCAAGTTTAACAATGGTATCGTTTTCTAGATTGGTTATTTATTCATTAGATATAGTGATCAATGAAAAAAAACGTGATAGACAAGATGTATCACCTACTGGTGTTGTACTTATTATCATATAGTGTAGTGAACAGAAAACGGGTGGGGACAATCGAATGTATTTGACACAAAATTACAGGACTTTTTAATAAAATCTAACAGTCATAAAGTAATTGCTTAATTTTCAACATGTCCATCGATTGTCTCATAATGACTCAGACTTCGTTGTTCTTGCATTTTCATACAAATTGCATTCTGTTCCCATTCTTTACTGTTCGATCCTATTGTCTCTGAGCGGCCAGACATTCTGTTCCTGACTAACATCATATACTACTTATGTCGATATAAGTAGCACACATTACAATAGGACCTATTTATCATAAATAACGTAGTTAAACAGAAAGCCTGTTAACTTTCGATTCTTTCAAAAACTGCACATACAACGGCAGATTGATTAAGAATTAATTATTTTAGATAAAGTATTTCGCACAGGTTTCAAAGGGAAGTTGTTAAACAAATGACAATATACATGAAATCTGTCAACTGAATGTTTCCATTTGATAAGGCCAATTGATTGACTCGACAGTATAGAATATATACGATGCACATCCGTAAATTTCATCAGTAAGTAGCAAATATACTTATTTTAAGGTCTGTTTATATGGAATGAATTTATCCAGGTACATCAATAATGATTTGAGTCTTAAATATACAAGACGCTTAATATTCTTATATTTGTTATGTCTCCTAGGTTTTTGACACTTCTACATCATAGGTAACAATCTGTAATGAAAATTTTATTAAGATGACAAATAATTCTACGATCCAATTATGTAGAATGTACACATAACCAATAGCTTTCAAATTATTTGGAAATTATTCATGTCATAATTTTTAGCTTGTCATCAAATAGATAGACCTATTCATAAATATTGATTCTTAGTCAACTGGTCCGTTCAATTCTTTAACGTAGCGTGATATCAAAATTCATTGTGAAAATAATTTATTTACAAGAATGAAAAAGAAAATTATAAAATAATTAACTATGAATTGATATTTGGATATAAATTTATTTTTTACTTGGATATGTTCAATGTTTTTAAATAGGAATATGTTTGTTGTTTCAATCGTCTGAAATTTAGTTTAAAAAATTGCTAGTCTTTCGCAAATACATCATATATATATATATATATATATATATATATATATATATCGCAACGTAGAAAATAGTACGTCTGTAAATCGATTCAAGTTGCTGTACCATATTATTACGGAGAGATGAAATTGTCATGTTATTTATTAGAATTGTGGGGCTAGTAACAGTAATATAAAATATTAGAGATTGAAAATACAATTCAAGAAAATGGAAATTACTGAAATAAAAAAGAATTATGAGTTCACAGGTTTAAAATTCTGGAAAGGCAAAGAATGGATGTATCTACTCTACTGCAAACGACTTTGAGCTGTGTCACTTAAAGTCTCTAACCACTAATTACGATAACCACACTGATCCCGACCAAGTAGTCTATACCCAATAACATGACTAAGTCCGATTGTCAGTGAATTCATGGACTGATAGCATGTTTTGGTTAAACCGCCATTAGGTTTCTTATATCTCACACCTACACCAGAAAACATACCGCGTTGGGATAGGCTGTGGTTCGTTATATGTAACACATGTCACAACCATCTGAGTTGATGAAGATTTACTACCTCTTCAGTCAAATACACAAGCAATACTTGAAAGACATCTGTGATTGAATACCAGTAACCTACGAATATCCTGTACTGTTAATGGTCATATTTCACATTCACAAAGTTGAGCGGAGTGAACTGCTGAGAAGTACACATATATATCAAAGGTGAGAAAGAAAGTTCAAGTTTATTTTAGTCACATCGTATAATTGTTCAACACACGTTTATTATTAATCCTGATCACAATAACACAGGTTCAGATGAATATAAAAATGGTGTACTTGGATCTTCTCACGTTACCATGACATTTCATGACATTAAAAGCATTTTTACAATCATAACAGATTAAAAATCATATTGTCCCTGATATTCAAGTACCAAATTCAAACATAATATACAACCAATCGCAAAGAATGTTCACCCATTCCTAAATGAGCCAAATTAATTAACAACTGCTTAGTGAACTAGCATTTCGGTTAGTTTACCTTTGGATATTTATCAAGTTGACTTTTTAGTAGTTAGTAATACACCTTCGTTTTGGTGTTACGTCATCAATGAAATTTATGTCAGTTTGCCTAAAACATATAATAATTGTAGGATTCACTTTTCTAAACACAAGTTTTTAACAGTTGAATTCACGAGTTGATATAAGCCAGACAACCATTAAAAACCTAGAAGCACTGAACGGTCGTTTTGTCGTAGTAAGAGACACCTCAGTAGCGTGTACACATGATGTTGCACGCGGGACTCGAAATTGAATTGCTATATTAGTAAGATAAGTATGGTATAAATATTTAACCTATGCACACATGAATGTTAAACTATAGCTTTTATGTAAATAACTATTATCAGAAATTTATTATACAAAACAACAACTTCTATCTAAAGATCAATATAAGTTGACATTTTAGCATTATCAAAATTGTACTACATAATCAAAGATGTCCACTACATATTTCAAGTGTGATTATCAGTGAATTGTATATGTTCACTTATGGTTTTGATAATTGAGTTGAACAACAATCTGGAATAATAACATCCTCACCACTACCACCGTTATGTAAGGCGGTATTAAATGTTGATGTGGAATATGACCGACATTTATAGTAATAATAACAATAATAATCAGTTGATAGTTCTTAACAATTAGTTAAGTGGAAAACGTCATAGTATTACTGGTCTGTTTTAATTTTTTGAATGTAATTTTCTATCATGAAATGGAATCAGTCGGAGAAATATTGCATTACTTCGTGAATTAACTAAAGATGAAAGTGTAGACTACTAAATTCTCATCAAGTACTTTAAAGACACTTACAGGTCCATGTGTTCAAAGTCCAATCCCGAGTACAGTCTTGTATGTATGTATGTGTACTGTCGATAATTAATAAACTAGAATAAAACAGATTGTATTTAGGTTACACAGCGGTTAACAATGAGACCCATAGTGTGCTCATCGTCCTATTTGAAACTCTTTAGCTTAATGTAACTGAATCTTAGTTTTGATGTTCACACAGTCAAAAAGGAAGTACAAACCCTTACAATAAACTTCATACCTGTTGCACAAGTTAGTTGCTATTTACAGTTAACAACTCAGTAGACAACGTGTGGGCAATTGGAGCAAAATTCGGTGAATTTAAATTTCACTGTGAGGATCAAGATTGAGGCGAAGGCTTATACAGCTGACGAGTTACAAAACATATGTCCTCGATTTCATCGCTTATCGTGATCCAACTTTACTAGAACTTCCAAATTAATGGCAACATCAAGGACATTTATTCAAGACTTACGCATACTAGTATAGACCAACCGATTCCAATCTTTAACATCATCAACAAAAAAACATAATTTCTTACTGACAGGAGGAGATACTTGTTTGGCGTCTCTTGGCTTTTCAGTGTTTCCTTTACGTCTGATGGAAGTTCGTCACAAAAACTATCTTTCAATCAAATGAATTTAAACAAACTCTTAAAAAAGGAGTTCCTTTAAACTAGAAAATTTTCATCCTGTAGTGAATGACTTTGGACGAAATCAATGGAACCGTATTTTGACATAAAATCAGATGAGATTATCAACAACATTGTTCATATTCATTAAGTATGTTGTATTCATTAATTTCAGTCATCTTTTCTGTCAACTTAGTTGGTGCGCCTGTATACTATATTACGTTAAATTAAAAATACTGTTTCAAGAGGCTGGAGTTGTCCACAACTGTCTGCTACGAACATGTCCAGCGTGCGACTCGACATAGCGGATGAAGAATACAGTTGTAGTAAAATGTTATTTTTGAGATACAATCATTGATAAAATTAAACTGCGATATGCATCCATATCTATAATTATTAATGATGGTTTTATTCAATATTATATGTCTAATACAGTATAGAATTCTACTAAATGAAAGGATAAATGACCGAAAGTTTTGGGTATAACATACTTAGTGAATATTGAGAATATTTCTAGAAAGCCTCAGCCGTCGACAAGCTGAGTAAAACCAAAAAATATCAGTAATACAACTGCTGAAGTTGTGTATAATTTGTGCGTGAGCGTTTCAACTAATCACCTATCTTTAAAAATATTTGAAAATAATTTATACAGTACAATTTTATGTATCCGATTCTATTAAGTGTTACATCTAGACATTTAGTGTTCCCGATTGTCATATGGTTAATTCTATTTGCAAATAATTAAGTATTCTTCTAATACGACATAAGGAGTGGAAAGTTTAATAGACAGGACATCTCTGGACGACAGTACTTCAGTATAATAATCCATGCACTAGTACAGAAAACGGGATTTTCCAAATAACTTTGTATTCTGTACGGAAGCCAAAAGTTGAAAAGGAACAAGTCTATTTTTACAGTAACGAGCGATAACTCATATGTATCGCAAAATTAGCAAACTGACAGTGATGACGACCAAGCAGGTAATAGCAAATGTTACCTAGGAATTATGGATTAGACAAATGTGATTGAGGTTATCTTTTTAAAAAAGAACTAACATGTAATAAAAATAGCTACATAACCTGATCTCTCTTTATGAATTACACTGTGTAAAATTTAATGTTGGTACTTGGGCGGCTAAAACGAAGTAGGTGGAGTGGTGCTTAGATCCGTGATGTTTTGACCAGAAGCACTGATTCAGCCACTTACTGCTCTAGAATTACGCTTACATAATCGATCAAAATGAAAGTGTACTTGGTAATACATTTCTATGAAATAAAAAAAGCTAATGGTTGAACCTGGTACATTTGGAAGAGAGTTGGTCGCAACTGAAAATGGTGAATAAAAACACCATTTTAAATTAAAGAATTCTTTATTCTATACTTAATATTATTTACTGTATAAAGAATGGTAGACAAATTAAGTATAGAATCTTCTTTATTTTTCATATGAAGTTTATAGTATGCCATCATTAATACTGAATATAAATTTATCAATACATATAATTCAAGTGGGTTGGAGAATGCTGGTTGGCGGCCTATGCTCCACTGGGAGTAACAGGCGTAATTAAGTAAGTAGGTATATTACAATTCACATCTTACCAAGAAGTGTATTTGAAGGAATATCTTCAACTGAGGTTATTACTCGCTCAAACGTGTTTGTATTCACTGAAGCCCCAACGCCTGTAATTAAAAATACACGTACATTTTAGGCATATCGAAAATATACACAAAACAATTTCAATTATATTTTAAAGAGATTTCTGTCCAAAAAACTTTTCATTCAAATTTACAAAGGAAACATTGACATCAGCAATACCAAAAAGTACCGAGCTTCAAGAGGAATGTTTCCATAAGTGTTTAAACTTACGAGAAAATAAACATGTGTTGTTATTGATCGTACTCTCTATTTCATGATTTTTATTAGCTACATACCGTTTACAATTTGAAAAAAAACAACGAAAAATGACAAGAACAATGATATGACGATTAATGGCTTTCAAGTTATTATTTTATAATTTAACTGAGTAGTCAGATAATAAAGTTCAGTCTCCATTGGTGTATAAAGTAATTATTTATTTCACGTCATGTTGTTCAAAAGCTAGTATGGTTGTTACTGAATAAATATTGATATAGAGCACTTATCTAACATACTTTATTTTACTGTAATTTATCACTCAATACAGAAGTAACTTTACATTTAGCACACATACTATTTTTAAAGTATGACGTCAAAAACATTTAAAAAAATATAAACTCACGAGAGTATGGTGACGAAATTCGATCAAAATAGTTTTATTATTCTGTATATTCAAGATATTGCTATAATAGAACTCAAACCTAATAGCATTGAAATCATATGCTTATGCTAAGAGGAATAAGAATCAAGAATGATAACCAGGGACAGAGAAGCACTAATCGTAAGAAAATTTTATTCTGTTCAGTGAAAGGTTTCTTATTACATGGTACAATTATGCATATATATATATATATATTGGTAGTAAGTGATCTTTGTCAAGAATATGTAACATGACAAATATGGAAGAAATCTGAAGGATATATAAATCTACAGGGAAATAATGTGATATTGACATAAGAAAAAAAGTAGACATTTTTTATCATTACTAATATTATTCAGTAAACAAGTGAGGAAGAGAAAGAGAAAGATATGGGAAAGTAGTATTTAATACAGAAAGAACATAAACAACTAAATAATGTTGTAGAAGAAAAATGATCATCTAGACAAAATGATTGCATCAAATTAGTTAGGTTTGTATATTTTAAGCAACAAAGAAAAGTAGCATGTATACACGCCAAAAAGCACAATATGACTAAAGTATTACTTTGATAATAACTATGATAATTTTCTGTTTAAATTTAGAAACAATTGGTTCTATCATGGGTCAATTGAAGCTAGACCACCATGGAAAACCTGGAAGCACTGAACAGCCGTTTTGTCCTATTGTGGGACTCCTGAGCAGTGCGCATCCACAATCCCGCTCGCGGGATTTGAACCCAGGGGCTTCGGTCTCGCGCGCGAACGCTTAACCTGCTGGACCACTGAATTATTGAATTATATATACCCGAAGTATAGATTTAGGTTCTTAACTTTGATGCATGATGTTACACATCTGTTCAAAATGACCGAAGTAGAACAGTTTAGTTATTTATATTACTTCAATGTAATATATCATATCATATCGAGATTGGTTAGTCTAAATGATAACTAGCTAAAACCTATTATTTTATGGAGGTGAACTTTGAAGAAAATAATTTCAGCTCATATTTGTAGTTTTACATTATTGTAACTATGTGTATTTAGGCGATTTTATGAAATATTTGGAATTTTTTGAGAATCTTATAATCGAGGAATTTAAAGAGATCTATCACAGTGGTTAGTGTATTTCTCTTTATCTCTCCTTGGAAGAAACGAGTAGAGACTGCTCTACAGAATTCAGATATCAAATATACATTAAAATGGAAAGCGATATCGTGGGAGAGATATGAGTTTCAACGAACCACTACTTGCAAACATCTTTATACGTACGTTCTTGAATCTTCACAAGTTGAATAATGTATATTGTTTATTTTATGTTGATAATTCTTAAGAATAATCAAACATCTGGCATTGAATAAAGTGAATTCCATTACTAATGATTACTTTGCTTTCAATAAGTTCACAAATTTCTGTTAACGAATAATGAGAGACGGATAAAAGCTTATGGAGTAACAAAGAGGATATGGAAAATTGAGTATGATCTTTTAATAGCAAAGATTATCCAAAGTGAATGATCATGTTTATTCACTATACTAATCAAATAAACTGCTTTAAATAGTATTACATTCTGAATGTAGACTAGTATACAGAAGAGAAAATAATAATTCTATAACTCAACGAAACTGATTTTTTAATAGACGATGTTCATTACGATTTGAACTCAACTGAGGTACTATTGAAGCCTATGAACGACTGAACACCTATCACAAGAATCCTTAACAGTGTTTATCCATAACAACTAGGTAGGACTTAATATTCGTTCTTCATTATGTGACTTTTTTATTTTCAACTTCAATTATTCATTTTTCAACTGATAAACAACTTATTGTCATATACTATTCTGATAGAATTAACTGCGAATACATAATAGCTTTAAATATTCAATATGTACATTGTTATTAGGTACTGTTCGATTGCTATTTGGGGATCGACTGCATGAGTAGATTTTGTTAAATACTAATAACCATGTGTCAATTTTGTTTTCTTACCACAAGGAACTTATTTTATTTTATTGTACCCACAGAATATCGATTGAGTAGAGGACAAACTAATAGACACAATGATATTAAATTTCATTAATCAATTCAATATTTTACTCACCTTTCTCAAAATAAAAATGTGGACCACCCATAAATAATTGTTTTGGCCTATTAGGATGTTGATTAACTGATGCACCAAATGTACAATATCTCAGATCAATTGATTTATCAGAATCTTTAACATTTAAACAAATTGCACTTGGTGCAGGATTTAATTGAGGCTCTTCTAAACGTTCATTAAATTCAAAGCAACCACCAGGTAAATAAACAGATGCTGCTGATGACCATGAAAGACGAGGTGCACAAACCTGGATTTTTTTTAAATTGATGAATAAACAGAAAATAAGTAATATAGACAAAAAACATTTTGTTTAAGTAAATGTTGAAATGTTTTATCAACTGATAAATATGCGTACCCGATAAAATAATAAAGCAACATCAATTTTATCAATTCGAAATATAAAATTAGATTAATTGTTTGGTTTATCAAATCAATTCAGACAATCATGTTTTAATCAATTGGTTTTCATTTCAATTTATTTACAAAAAAGAACACAGTAATAAATACAATTGAATCTGAAAGTTTCTAGATCGACAAATGATGTATTATATAACTAAGGTAGTTACCATGACAATGTAGCGCAAATTATTTTTCTGTGGTATATTTATATAGAGTTCCCAAATAGAAGTTTTCTTTCAGTAAGGTACATCTATGTAACTTGAAAAATAGTTAATTCAAAAAAGCATTATTTAATATTTATACATAAACAGTAATTCATAATATTGGTTGACACATTTGTGAAGTTTTACTTTAAAAAGTTAGTGAAAATAAATAACTCCAAATATTCAATAAGAACAGTGACATTTCTGATCTAAAATGACCAGTTCTTATCAAAGGTATGTGGAAGTTAGAACTTTTGAAAGATTTAATTCATTAACCTATATCTTAAAATACTTATTGACCACTTTTCTATGGTTTACCTTATGATTGTAGCAGTAGTAGTAGTAATCGATCATGATTGTTTGAAGTTAGATATTAACACCATTGGATCTCGGGGAACTCAGTGATCTAGAAGTTAAGCGTTTGCGTGTGAGACCGGCAGGTCCTGGGTTCGGACCCTTCGAGCGGGACCGTGGATGCTCACTGCTGAGGTATCCCATACTAGGACGAAACGGCCGTCCAGTGCTTCCAGGTTTTCCATGGTGGTCTAGATTTAATTAACTCATGAATCCAACTATTAAATTATAATATTCACAAAACCCCTTTCTGATTAAGTAGAATAGTTGGTTTTAATTCCCTAATCAATTAATAATAATTCAACTGTGAAAAAATAATAATAATATTTCTATAAAAATCAATCTTTACCAGGTTCGTATGTTTTAATATCAATTGGAAGTTTTGGGCATTAATCAGAAGAAGAAAAAGACATTTCAATATAACTATTAAAAGTATTTATCTAGTTTACTAACATTTTACCTTGTATATACAACAAGATCGTATCATTATCGAGTCTATTCTATTATATGAAACATGTATAAACTTGTTAAATTCACTGTTAATAAGCATTAATAACTAATATCATCTGTCAAATAACTTTTTTACACAAATAATAAAAGATTGAATTTGGAACCGATTAGAAATATGATATTTGTCATTACCGGATAGAAATAAAATGTTCATTTGATTTGTATTAATATTTAACCATAGTTAGTAACTTATTGATTGACAAGTCAGTTATAGTCTAATGATTTGAGTTGAAATTTTTATACGTAATTAATAGTTTATATTACTTATTATATTTTCATATTGCTCACTTAAATAGGAAGTGATTCTTTTTTCACTAAAATTCATTTGATCCTATTGAGTGATCAAATTTATTAATTCGATCATCTTAGTCATTTCAAATGTCAAATGAAATAAGAAATTGTAGAAATACGATCAAGAGGAGATATTTTAATCATTAAAGCATACAGAAGAGTGTTATGTTTTCACCAAGAAATGTATTGTGGAATCATTATTTTTATTCAAGTGTTTGAGAAAAAGCAAACACAACAAAAATGTGTGCTCAGTGAGATAATCAATAAAAGATAAATAAATGATTATGTAAAAATTGAGGAAGAACAGAATGGTGAAGTTTGATCCTATCATTTTTAATATACTCTTAGTATAATATTCAACACAGACTAACACCAACCACTAAACCAGCCGTTTCATCTTAGCTCAGGACTAGTCAGTGATCCATAATTAGTTTTTTCTTTTACTATATTTGACATAACTTTACCCTTAACAAGATAGAGCCTTGACTACTGAAGGTTTAGTCCACAGCGAAGTACGCTGATTGGTCCATTTCTCAACCAATCAGTGGTAGAGGACAAGTCAAAATGTTAGAGGATTCTCATGCAAATTCGAAATAAACTTCAATGTTTTTAGTGCTGTATCTTTTTATTTTGGTTATATTGAAATATATTTATATGTACATACTTCTTCAGTTCTTGTCTTGATTCGGGAAGACGTGAATGAAGCATAATGTTCGGGAAATACTAGACGGTGGAGAAAATAACAGTTATTCAGATTGATTTGCTAATCATATCATAACCATTTTCCTCTTTGCTGTTTGCTTACAAAAAATATTGAAACTTGTGTCAGTACACAATTATAGTTGAATGATGATCTGATTTTGAAAACGTTTCATACAACGGTTGTCATTACATTTTTAATAAACTAATTAGTCTAAAGAACTGTAATATTTTGTCCAGCGAAACTAAACATAATAATAATGCCAACAATCAGAATTAACCATTAATTTTGTTTCAAATATTTGAATCTCAATAATTAATCACAATTAGTGCATTGAAATTAAATCAGGTATGAATTGAATAATGTGGAACTATAGAAACATAAAAATTATATTTATACAACTTTTAACATGCAGTGAAGCGAAACAGTTTCAAAATTAAAACTTTTTCTGAATATTGAACACTTTCATTACCTCCACCTTCAAAATCTTATTCTTATTTATTGGAGTGTTCAAATAATTGTTGTGTAGTGAAAAAATCATTATGGCAGAAACTTTTATTTTCTTGTTTATTAGAAAAATGAAAATAAATAATGCCGAAGAGTTGAGCCAATCAGTTCTGAACAACATAGGAGCTTGACGCAGATGTGAGTTAACTTAGGTTGCTATGTTACACAGAAACGACAAGGGATCATCAAGATGAACAGGGAACTAGTTGAATGAATTGTACAAGCAATGATGAGGGAAAAACCAAATATTGAGTATATAGTTTGAGACAACAAAATAAAAATATATGTATGAGATAGAGTTTATGAAATATTAGAAGTTAGTAAACTTGCATCACTTTTATTCATTGTATTGAGTGAAATGCATTTAGGTTTCTTATATTTAGCTATGTTAGCGCTAACTATTGATGAGAACCATGACATTGGGTGACACCAGTTGATTCACACTGGAAGGTATCGATTCCATCAAAATTACAGATAGATCTTGCTGATAAGTGTCAATTAGAATGAAACCCTAGTTCAAAGTTTCCCTCTTGGTCGCATCAAAGCATTGAATATCATAAAAAAAGTACCCATAGTTCTTCCCTTAGCATTATTTACATCAATTATCCACAGTGAGCTTAAAATCGATTCTCCTGGATTCCTGTGACCTCATCGATGTTATAAGCAATCATTGTATTGACATAGAATAGATGCAATGTGGCTAGCAGTGGAATCCAGGATGAGAGTTTCGTCCTACTTTAAACTTGTCAGGTAAATGTACCTGTATCCCAGAGGTGATATTCACTCTCGAACTCGGACCCAGTACAATACGCTTCAAACGCCATTGCACTATCCAAACCATTTCAAATCGAATTAAGTCACTTTATAGTTTCAGTATTCAATGTATATCTAAATTTATTGAATAATGACCAAAAAACAAACCATTTAGGGTGAATAATTTGATACTACGACACACTTCATGCTTCACTTGTAGGTGCTTATCGAATTAACTAAGTTGTCATATTTTATTCATTAGTTGTTTAATGAGGATAGGGGTCATATTTTCACACTACGTCATTGGGATATTTTGTATTGATTCTTACTTTATAGAACATCAGTCTTAATAGAAATAATTCTGTTGTATCACTGTTGATGAAAAATTAATGAATAACCTTTGTCTTAAACTCATGGGGATGGTTAATAGTTTCCTCAATCTGATAAGTGCTTTCGAATAAATAGTAAATGAGCAATGTTTTTCGACTTCTTAAACATTTGACAATCTTCAAAGTTGTTATTTTTTAAATGCAATAAAAAGTAATTGGTAAACTAAACGAATTCAAACAGGAATACTCATTTGAAATCTACTAGTTTAATTCTATATAGAGACTGACCGATAAATTATTGTAATATACTAGAATTTATTATTACTTAGAATGCTGAGCATTTCTTCTGTATCTAATGATATGAATATGTAGTATTATATCAGATTTTATCATACATAACCCAAGAAGATTGAATAATTGTCGGAAATAATAATAATAGTAACGATAGAATTTCATTCTATTGACTTGAGAATAGATATCATTGATTAGTATTGAGAAAAATATAAACTAATTCAGGAATGAAATTTAAACTACTTATATTAAACTTTCAGTCGCATTTAATTTTAATGACATTACCTACTAATATAGCTACTTTAAACATAATAAATATTATTTCATAATCAATGAACTAATAATCAAGTAATCAAATTAATGAATTACAGTAATTTAGATCATTTATAATGACAAATACATTTATTATTAAATTAAAACAAAAAAAGAAAAGACTATTAATTGCTATCAGTACTATGAGTACGTATAATATTACTTTCTATTATATAGATTACTCTATTCATTTACGAACCAAAAAAAAGGATTTCAATTAATAATTCATGAATTTTATTACAATGAACTCCTCTCTATCAATTTGTAAAGAGTAGTGAGAAAATGATGTTAACTAGTGATTATGTTTTATTTTTTGATTAATGTGTTTGTCAGCAATAGATGAGATCGAATAAAAATCATAAAAGTTTTGATAATTAGTTTTTCAAATTAGACACCTATAATATATTAGAAAAAAATTTATTAGTTTTATAGTTGAATTCATGAGTCAACTGAAGATAGACTAACATGGAAAACCTGGACGAACTGGATAGCCGTTTCGTCCTAATATGAGACTCCTCAGCAGTGCACACCCACGATTCAAACCCACAACCTATCCTTCTCGTGACTGAACGCTTAACCTCTAGACCGCTAAGCCGGC